TATATATATTTTTTTATAATGTTTGTAAACATTTAGTGTCGGCATTAGACCTAGGCTATTTCTGAATGAAATAATAAAATGCGACTTATACACGATTTATGTTTTTCCCCCCCTAAAAACTAATTTTTTTATATGCGTAGCATATTTTAACCATGCAGCAAACCTTTTTAAATATTTTGATGAATTACTGAAAAGATAAATAATTAAATGACTTTTTAAACCGTTTAACTGATTGTATTAATCGGTCAAAATTCTTACGGTCGGTTAACCGGTTAAAATGAACATCCCTACCATCGAGGCATTTATTTACACAGGATGGGTGACAGCCTGGCTCTGATCAATAGTGTCAGTTTACAGTGCTGCAGACAGCCCGAACAAACAGTATCCCCCAACAAACCCACAGCTGGACTTCACATATCATGCACAGGAGTGTCTGAGGCCACATGCTCCAGATACCTACACAACCATGAACATGAAATGATCAAAAAAGGATGGAGGAAAAAAAAGATAAAGAATAGGGGAAGAGGAAAGAGAGGAAACAGACAAGCAGGTAGCACGTGACAAAGAAACAATAACAGCAGACTGCTGCTAGTGCTCCTTAATGAATAAGCAGGATTCCCCAATGTGCAGCCCTCTGCTTCTAGCACAGGCTCACAGTCACAGGCAGTAAGCCGCTTTTCATGCTGCTTCTTTCACCTGATGCGAGTCACAGTAGCTGGCCATGCCACGCAACAGCTTTGTAGGAGTATAATCCAGGCTTGAACTAGGCTGCTGCACATTACAAAAAAATATGCTACTGGGCAAACCATTATGGAGAGGCGGGTAACTCAGAAGTTGAGTTTGCAAGGGAACATGGGATGTTCAATAAATCATTCACAGCGTCTACTCTAAAGTCAGCACATCAAGCCAACATAACAGGCAAACATGGCTGCATTTGCACTGCAGGGCTTAATGCACAGATCCCATTTTTGCGCCACCTGTTTACTGTCACTTAAGACTGTGTTTACATGAGTGACCACCAAGAGGCATTGTTAGAACAACATGTCCTTGTTAGAAATATGTTAAAGAATTGACAAAACATTACAATAATGCAATTAGACAATTACCATTATAAACGAAGACAGACTTCGCAATTCACACTGAAGAAGATACTCACTCATACCAGTTATTATGCTGCAATTTAGTAATTTTGCATAGTCAAAAAATACAACTATTTATTCTCACTCATGTTATTTACATCATGCTAAAATTTGTGCACACAAACTTAGACAACATGAGTTGGTGAGAGTACTTGTGGTGTTTCTGTTTGTATTTATGCTCTTTTTCTTTTAATGTTACTTTACTGCAAGAAGCGTGTCTGACATGTCATAATTGCTTAACTTCCTTGTCCAAACAAAGTGGTTCTGGAGCTACATGTACAGATTTAAAAACAAAGCTGTTACGGTTATATAAAAAGAAAGTTTTTACAATTAATGATGAAAAATTGTGAAATAAGAATCTCTGGAACCAGAGTGTTCAGATACGTATCAGATTTGGAACCACATAAAAAAAATGTGTTTTGAAGTGTGTATTTGGTGTGGCAAGAAAAAAAAAGCTTTGGCACCCACTATTTAATGCGCATTTGCATTTCTGAAAATACACATTCTTCTTGCAAATGTTTAATTATTAACGGATTTGCATTATTTAGCCCAAACATAATGTTGAAGAGGGTAAACAAGTATTTGAGTATGCCTCAAATTTCCTAATCGGTGCAATGCTATTTGTGAAGCGTCAAGACAGAATACAAAAACAGTGAGCATCAATCTAACATGCAAAACTGAATTGTTAGACCACTAATATTTTGAGAACAAAGCAAATATACTACCAAAACATGATAATGGAGTTTAACTGGATATCCTGGGCTACCATTGTATAATAATATCAGAAAATGCAACCTATATCTTTCCCAGAAACCATCAAGCACAATGACAATTCCTGAGCAAAATATAAACCATCATCCTGATCAAGTTAAATGCATTGTATAATCTGTTTAAAACAGGCGTAGCATTTAATAATGAGCAATTTATTCAACCATATGTATTTTGATTGGATTGAATAGCACACTTGGAGTCTAGTTAAAGGGGTCATATGGTGTTGCTAAAAAGAACATTATTTGGTGTAATGAAATGTGTTTATGCGGTTTAAGGTTAAAAAAACACATTATTTTCCACATACTGTACATTATTGTTTCTCCTCTATGCCCTGCCTTTCTGAAACGCGTCGATTTTTACAAAGCTCATCGGTCTGAAAAGCGCGGTGTGCTCGAATTGGCCAGCTATCCAGTGCGTTGTGATTGGCCGAATACCTCAAGCATGTGACGGAAATGTTATTTTTTGATCATTATTGTCAAAAGATCACGGTTTTAGGCTAACACATGGAATTGGGTACAAAAACCAGTTCTTTTGCCGATACTGAAATAATCTGACTCACGCACCGTATTGTACTGAACCTCATGAACCAATAATGTGTTAATATGTTACCACATTTTTGTTTGTTTTTGTTTTTTAAGCATTCCAACATAGTATAAGACAATTTTGAAGGACTGCACCTATGTCAGTAAAGAGGCTGTGAAATGTCATTAAAAATGTATGTAAACATCTTTTGCGAGAATAGCATTACATGTAGCCTATTCATCAATATATATCTGTTCTGCTGAAATTATCTAATTTGGCAACACACTATTGAAGGCAGTAGGCTAGCTGCCATATGAACTGCATTTCAATTTTCCAAAATGAATTATTTCTAAAAAGTACTAAAGCAATCATTAAAAGGATAGTCCACCCAAAATGAGGGCGAGTCAGTGATGACAGAATGCATGTTGTTTCACACCTTTATGACTACAGTGAAAGACAAATTAAGATACTTTGAAGAACTCTGGGAACCAAACTAAATCGGAGACCATTGACATTTCTCAAAATATCTTCTTTTATGTTTCACAAAAGAAATAAAGTGTTGGAACAACATGAGGATGACTAAATGAACTATCCAGCAGAATCGTTAAAGAACCAGAATCATTAAGAGGAATCATTCAATTCATTATGATTCCCACATCCGCTGATATGTTTAGGTAGCTACAGCCCATAAACAAGATTCGATGCAGTGGTTGCCAAAAACTGCCGTTCTCACAAATGTCCATCAAGTAAATTATATCAATTGGAAAGCGGTTATGTGAAACAACTCAAAACCTACAAGCAAACAAGACGCTGAAAATAACATTGAAAAATGCTGCATCTACTGATGACTATCATACAGATAAAAATCTTGCAAGCTTTGGTAACACAAATCCTCCGGACTTAAACACCCTGTGAGACTAAACAGTGAAACAGCCATTGAAGAGATTCAACACTCATTGTTTCATGAGACAGACATTCCTTGTCCAATTAGAATTCCTTTCATGGGCCCAGGGGGGAAAGCAGCACAGCTGGAGGTGCTGGGTCTGTCTGTGGCCCGACAGCTCTCCACCTCTGCTGTGGACATCTCTTCCACAAACAAACTCAAGTGGCCACAGAGGAGATGTTGTGAGACACAAATGCATCTGTGTAAAATAAAGACCGGCTCATTCAGAGCTCTCTTATTTGTGTGGGAACAAAATGTCTTTATATGGTGTCGTCACTGCCTTCATCAAAGCTGTTCATAGTAGTGTTGAGTTTGACATCAAAATAATTCTGCCAGACAGAAATGGGGCCATGGGAGATGTAAAACAACCCATTACATCCAGCTAAATGTCAAACTTTCTTACATTAAAATTACAAAATGCCCATGTAATCCACTAGTGGCATACATCAACTGTTAACAGGAAAAAGAGGAAAAGCAGTAACACTACAATATGGTTAACATGAAACAGAGTTAAAATTAACTAACCAAGTAAAATACTTGTAATGCATTTATTAATCTGAGTTCATATTAATTTCAACATTTACTAATTAATTATTAAAATCAAAACTTCTATATGTTAATATGATTTAATGGACCTGAGCTAACATGAACATTGAACAGTATTTTTACTGACAAACATTAACAAAGATTAATAAATACTGTAACAAATGTGTTACTCCATGTTAGGTAATGTTAATTAATGCATTAACTAAAGGGGCCCTGTTGCATAGTGTTACCAAAAAACGCAATAAAACTGAATGCTTTTAACCTTGCCCCTGCTGAGTCTATAATACCATACAACGCATATAACCTCATAATTTTGCATTTACTAATCTTTCTATTCCATAAACACGGATATGTCAACAGCAGATTTGGTTTAAAGAGATCAGTCCTCCAGGGCACTGTCACTATCTCTCTGATGATATCAATATGCATCAATCATACCCTGTTAATTTCCGAGAAGTGATTTCAAAAGAGTAGGGAAAAATATTCTCCCCAAGAAACCCCCAACAGTGGATTGCGAAAGAGTATATTAGCATATAAAGACCAAGCACTGTAAACCTTTGTTAACTTGCTTCAGTGATCAAATCTATTAAGAAATACACAACACAAAACTTTAATGAATAGTCTGCCACACATGGTAGTCTTGATATCTTAATACATAATGGAGACACAGACATCCAGATGAGGGGAACCGCGAAAACAGCTGCCTCTGCTTCATCCGGTTAATGCTCAGCTGATTTATGACTAAATCAACATAAACCATACAGAGGGAGCTGCTTTCGGCTGATAACGTTCACATACGTGGAAATAAAGCAAGTCCACTGACTATTGTACTGTTTATAGAGATGCTGATGAAATGAAAGACTGCTTTTCGTGTTAGCATGCGTTTAGCATGAAGAGCCAGGCTGCTGCAATTCGCCCCAGCGGCAGAAGCTAGCAAGATAGTCGCTTAGCTTTCCATATAAGTTACACATTAGCGACAAATACACAGCGATGATAACGTGACTAAAAGTATAAAATGATCATTAACCCAGTAATTATACAATTAAAACGACAAAGGAGATTATTTGTTGGAGTTTTACCTGTCAGCCGGATTTTGATGCTTGACCCGTTCCTTCGAGTCCCAGGATTCGACATCACTCCCACAAAATAACCAACGAACTTTCTCCAGGATAAACCCAAGACGCTCGCTTCAAGCGGATATAAAAACGTATAAAAACGCGCTACGCTGATATGTGGGCTGTGCATGTGTTTCTAGGCGATAGAACGGTATTATTTCCGTCTGGCAAATCCCCTGTAGCTTTCAGACTTAACAACATAGGCTAACATTTTTTTTAGCTCAACGGCGTTCTGACGTCACGTTAGTACAGCTGTACGTGCACGTACTCGCGGCTGGGCGTGAGCGCGCTCTTCCGCCTAGCGATGCCAGTGCATTTGTGGTAACGTTAGCCTAGCCTATGTCATACCTATGTGATCTGGAAAGACATTAATCATCTGCGTTGACATGCTGTCCAAAGCTGAATTACTTACTATGAAAAATTGTACTATGTTGGCTGTTTTTCAGCGATGTCATCGAGAGTATTTTAATTAATATTTTACTTTGTAATTAATATATTGACAGACAGACAGAAAGACAGATAGATAGATAGATAGATAGATAGACAGACAGATAGATAAATAGATAGACAGACAGACTGACAGGATAGATAGATAGATAGACAGACAGACTGACAGGATAGATAGACAGACAGACAGATAGATAGATAGACGGACAGATAGATAGATAGATAGATAGATAGATAGACAGATAGATAGACAGACATAGATAGACAGACAGACTGACAGGATAGATTGATAGACAGACAGACAGATAGATAAATAGATAGACAGACAGATAGATAGATAGATAGACAGACTGACAGGATAGATAGATAGATAGACAGACAGACAGATAGATAGATAGATAGATAGATAGACAGGCAGACATACA